CCCCCCCTCCCCCAGCCATGAGCACCCCAAGGGCCCACCACCTGATGCTGCTGCTGAGCCACTAGTGGCAGGGGCTCTGCACCAAAGGCAGGGGATGGGAGGAAGATGGGGGGGGGGGCAACACTCCTCCCCCACACCTGCCCACAAACTCCACACACCCCCCCACAAGTTCCACATACTGCCATACCCACCCCCTAACCATACAAAGTACCTGCATATATTTCTAAAGAAGGTTCAAATTGTGTTATATTTTAATTTGTAATAAATAAATACAGTAAAAGTTGTGTTAACCAGCACCTTGCAAGCCGGCATGCTCTATTAACTGGCATGCCGACTTGTAGGGTAAAAGTGAAACCAGAAGCGCCCACCATGGCACTTCCGGTTTCGCCGAGCCTCCACGGGCCGGGGCAAAGCAGCCTATATGGGGCCTGCCTCCCTGTCCCTCAGAGCCCACAGGAGGGGCAGTGATGTGGCGGGAGGGGCGGTGATGCCCCGGACACCGTGGGAGAAGCGGTGGCTTGAACAGGCAAAGACGCCTGTTCGGGCCTCTCAGTTAACCACCATATTGTTTTATCCGGCACCCCCCATTCCCCATGGGTGCTGGATAACAAAGCTTTTGCTGTAATAATAATAATAAAAGTAGTTTTGCAGCATTTTAAATTTTTCTGTGCATCATTTAATTTTTTTTTTCTGCACATGATTCCCTGGAGTGTAATTAAATGTATGACATGGGAAGTGATAGTGCCTTTACTCAGCATAAGTTAGATTAGGGGTAGGCAAAATACAACCTGTGGGCCAGATTTGGCCCTCCAACTGCCTGGATCTGGCCTGCAGCTGCCCCAGTGCCAGGGTAGTCTGTGCTACACTCCTACCTGGGCCCCAGCCAGCACATGCAGCTTCTGGCAGGGCTGTTCCCAGTGCTGCTCTGTTCCCCTCTCTTCCAGTGGGAGCCACCCCACTGAAGCTTCTTGCCTATGTGGAGCGGCACAGCAGGGTCAAGGCCAGGAGTGGGAGGAGGAGCTGCCACTGGAGATGAGGGGAGCAAAGCAGCACCTGGCCACCTGCAGCCAAACTGGGAACAGCCCTGTCAAAGGCTGCGCATGCTGGCCAGGGCGCAAGCTGGCAGGCCCGTTCTGCTCCCCTTTCCTCCAGCTGTGGTTCCTGCTCCTGCCCCTGCTGCACTGCTCTGAGTGGGTGGGGCTTCAGCCAAGTGGCTCTTGCCCCAATGAATGGGGTCTGGCTCCAGCTGCCTTTCACCCATTCTGCTTGCCTGGCACAATGAGCAGCCATCTGCGGGCTGGTAGTAGGTGACTGAAAGCTGGAGCCAGAGCCCTGCATACAGGCAGGGGCTGCCTAGCTGAAGCTTCCCCCACTCTGCCTGCCCACTCACCTGGAGCTGTGCAGCAGAGTCAGGAGCTGGAGGTGAGCGGAGCAGAACGGCCCCAGAGGCTCTCCATGCTGCTGCAGCCAACCAGGCACTGCTATGCTCTTCTCACTTCCAGTGGTGGCTCCTTCCCTCACTCCTGCCCTGCTGTGCTGCTCTGAGTAGGCAGGCGGGAGGGAAGCTTCTACTGGGCGACTCTCACTGGAGGTGAGGGGAGCAGAGCAGCACCCACCTGGCTGCAGCCTCACTGGGAATAGCCCTGCCAGAAGCTACATGCATTATAGCTCGCCTAGTCCATGGCTGTCCTATGCCTTGGCCCCATGCGGAGTGCTGTAGGGTCAGCTGCAGACCGGATGAGCTCTGCTGCATACGCCTCCCCTGTCTCCTCCTCCCTCCCTTCATCCCTGGCTGGCTTCTGGGACCTAATGCCCAGGCAGTCCCCATGCACACATGCCTGCCCCCCCCGGGCAGGGTGTGCAGGGAGCAGATCATGGCCATCCCACTCCCAAACACTGCTCCCTCCCTGCCCAAAGCCCCACAGGGAGTTTCGGAGAGTTGTTCAGGGGGAAGGCAGGGAGATGCTGACCTGACCTGTGACAGCTCATCAAAACTCCCTATGTGGTCCTCGGGCCCAAATACTTGTCCAGTCCTGGGTTAGGTAATCTGGAGGTAATCTGGAGTATTGTGTGCAGTTCTGGACTCCACATTTTGAAAAGGATGCAGAGAAGTTGGAGGGGGCCCAGAAGCGGGCAAAAAATGATCAAGGGCTTGGAAAGCAAGTCCTACAAGGAGAGGCTGAAGGAGCTAGGCATGTTCAGCTTGCAGAAAAGGTGCATAAGAAGGGACATGATAGCAGTCTTCAAATACTTGACGGACTGCCATAAAGAAGAGGAAAAGCACCCTTTCTCTCTTGCTGCAGAGGGGAGGATGTGGACCAATGGCTTGAAGCTGCAGTAAAGTAAGTTTATATTGGGTATCTGGAAAATCTTTACTGTTAGAATAGTGAATCAGTGGAATAGACTGCCTAGGGAAGTTGTGGACTCTTCATCATTGGAGGTATTCAAGAAGGGGTTGAACAGCCACTGGTCAGGGATGATCTAGGTGTAGTTATGCCTATTTTCTACCATGGGTATTTCCAGTGCTTCTGGGCTTTTCTGGTTGCTTCACCCCTGCCTTCCCCCTTTCCTGTTATATGTGTCAAGTTGTTTTTAAGCCTCCCGAAAAACATTTGAGTGTTAGCTACAGTGAAAGCGGGGGACTTCAGTTGGGGTGTGCTGATGCTTCTACTAGGAGCAAAGCTGGAGGTTCCATATTTGGGGTCAGGAGGGAATTTTACCCCATGGTCAGATTGGTACATACAATAGGAGTTTTTGCCTTCCTCGATCGAGCGGGGCATGGTCCTCTACCCGGAACCTCTTGTGCTTATATTGACAACATTTTATAGAAATAGGACAGTGGCTACTGTGGTTCCCCCGCTTTACCTGTGGCAGGCTAGGGTGTTGAGTTTGTTGTGTCAGGGTTGAGGGCTGTCAATGTAAAGTTTAGATTATGGTTGTACAGGATTGTTTGGATAGGGATGATCTTGCTTCAGGCAGGAGGTTGGAGTAGATGACCTCTGGAGGTCCCTTTCAGCCCTACTTCTCTATGACTCTATGGGATTTCTTTAGGAGTCTATTAATGAAGCTTCTAATTTGGCCTGTTGCCTCCAGGACCTGAGCATATTACTTTGATATGTTGTTTTCTCCCAGTTTACAAAAGGAGGAAGAGAGCTTGGTGCAGGAATTAGACATAGGTCTGTGGGTGACTGTAGTTGTAGCAGAAAGCCCCCTTTTCCTCTTGCCTGCATTTTCTCTCCCCTCTTTGGATATGTTTCTCTTTTTCTACCTTTTCTTCCTTCCTCTCTCTTTCACTTTAAGATAAGGAATTGTGTTTTAAATTTGTATGTGTGGATTTTGTATCTCCCCTTGTAGTTTGGTATTTTTATCTATTTGTGTGCTATGGCATTTGTAGCTTATATTTTATACTCCTCACCTTTCAACTTTCAACTGAATGTGTTTAGTTTCATAAGTAAGTTATACATTGTAACAATGTTAACAAGGGTAGGAATCAAACCGTCCTTCTCTGTATCAGGCTGGCCCCTGAAAGAGGAGTGAATCAGTGATTGAATGTGTAACAAGGTAGCACACAGCAATTATCACCTGGAAGCTGCAGATCAACCACGGGAAGAACTGAATAGAAGACAATGTAACAACCGGGAAATCTAAACGTCACTGATCAAGGGCTAGAAGCCCTGGTCTGAGTTAATCAACGCCGGGGACCAACTTTTGGGCTGAATATCTCCAGATCGACCACTCCCAGAGCCCTATTCTAAATTCATCAACGGACTCCCAAACCTGCACGTACATGCGGACGACCCCTGGGGCTGACAGATGCCGTCCAGTAGCCACCGAGGGGGGGAAGTCCCACGAGGGTCAATGACCCCTGGATTGGGCAAACCTGAAAACTGGGGAGTCACCAAAGTCTGCCAAGGACAGATAAAAGGCAGTGAAAAGTGACCCTCAGTGGCGCCCTCTTGATCTCCAACTCGACCAGACCTGTCTAGCCCGAAGGACCAGCCAGAGACCCCTTTCTGGAAGATAACACCACGCTGAAAGAAGCCTCAATGACAGACTCGAGTGCTTGTAGGATAGGTATCCCTGACTCTGTAGCCTGCTACTGTGTGTGTGTATGTGTGTGCATGTGTGCACGTGTGTGTGTGGGGGGACTAGCCCCAAGGTTTATGATTACAGTGTTTCAATCCGCCTAATAAACTAGAATTTGAAGGATCCCAAGTTGGACATTTGTAGCCAACATAGTATGTAGATTAAGATAAGCATATTAAGTTCATTAAAGAGCAAATAGCAAAGAGGTTGTTTCCAGTTTTGAGAATGGGTAGTAT